CCCCCGCCCCGGCTTCTTCCCATCCCTCGGGGCTTAGCTGAACTGTGAGCCCACAGTGCGTCCTGCCTGAAACTCCATCCTCAGCGCCCCACGGCCGCTCCCTAACCCGGCGCTGCGCGTCCTTTCCACCCCCTGGCTGTTCACACGTACGATGTCCTTACTTATCGCCAGTGTCTTTCTCGTAGAGGAAGACCCTGAAAACCTGGCACCTGCCACGCTTAGTCAGTGTCCCACCTGGAGGGCAGGACCAGGCAACGGCAGAGACTAAGGACATTTCTGCTGAGTGAGTGTCTAATAAATAAATGAATAGGTGATTTTATGGAGAGAAAAATAATCCCGGCTTCCCTACGTTAACACCTTCCTAGTCGTGTTTTATGGAACAGCAGTCTTCTGAGTCCCCCGTGGAGATGCTGTGGGCAGAGCGCCTGCCAGCGTGGCAGCCCCAGGAACCTCTCCAGACGCTGCATGGGGAGTGGAGACCACAGCGGTCAGTGGCCTTCGGTGTTGAAAACACCGGGGTGTGGGTGAAAGCTTATTAGCACTGCACATACCTAGCCTTTTATGGGTATATCCTGGGGGCGGGGAGCGATTTAAGCTTGTAGACTATTGATAGGAAGTGCCACCAAACCATCAGGAGTCAGGGTTGTAAACGCGGCGAAAGAACTCTGAAGCGCAGACTGTCCAAGGCCAGGACACTTTCTTCAGGATGACGTGCTGCCTGGTTGCACTTACCAGACCTCAGATTCCCTCCATACTGACAGGAGAGTGAGGCTTTTTGAATCTCTCTGGGGCCATAGGAAACTGTTAATTTTTCTTTTTAAATGGAAAGAAAATGTGTGTGCGTGTGTTTTCAGGAAACGAGTCTAGTCCACTGCGCGGGTTTAAAGATCCTTTATTATGGAATCAGTATGTACAAACTCTAACATGAAAATAATGAGTCACGGGGTATCAGCCTATTTACAGTGCTTTTTTGTTTTTTTACAAATTTTTTTTTTTTTTTTACAAGATTACTTCTCCCTAAATAACATAATAGACACACACAGAAATCAAACATTTTTTATTACATACATAAATAAATATTGACTTTAAATGACCTCTCTAAGGGACATGATTTCTACAGGCCATCTGGATGAGAAGGTAGCCGTTGTGTTATCTGCACACTATAATTAAGTCGAGAAAAAGTCATAACAGCTTTACATACGGACCTCTGTTGATCACCCTGTGAATGGTATAACTTGCTAAAATGTTCAGTAGAGGTAAGAAGCTCAGTCTGGCCATGCAAAACCGGAGATAAGAGTCGCCATCTTTATGCATTTATATTTTAAATGAATCTTAAAGTACATGCAACAGACATTTAGCCTCTGTGTTCTGGTCCCGACGTCAAAGTTTGCATAACAGGATTGAGATATTTGCAATCGTAGGAATGAGTGAACTTGAGGAACTCCACAGCCCACGGTGTAAGAAAGGGCATTAAGTAAATAAGCCGTTATCACAAATGACACTGACCGATTCGTAGGACAAAATTAATATTTGTACTCACGGGATACAGACACAAGTCCAAATTCAGCCTTTTAATCGGATTTTTCAGTGTTGATAAAAGATACAATCAAGGGCTTTGAAGTCCAGTGTAATCACTTCCCAGCCGTTCCCACCCCTGCGAATTACTGGGTTCCTCATACAGGACAAATTCTCATCTGTTCAGTAAACATTACGAAGCAGTGATTCTCAGCTGGGGGTGACCTTACCCCCCAGAGGGCATGGGCCGTGACTGGAGAGCTTGTGGCTGTCACCCCCTGGGGGAGGTGCTCGTGGCAGCTGCTGGGTGGAGACCTGGGATGCCGCTCAACGGCCTGCAGCGCCCAGGGGGGGGGCCCTCGAACAGGGAAACGTGCAGCCCCAAATCTCAACAGCGCTGCGGTGGAGAAACCCTGCTCTATAGATTGGGTATAGGTTCTTTCAGCTTTCTAGGACATACATCTATTTTTCAGCTTTGAATTTTAATAAACATTTCAGAAAATTACCTGTCATCAGTATGTCATATTAAAACACTAGATGACGACGTGAAGGGCACACATTCGTTTATAAAAATTGCTCCATAGAGGCCACTTAGAATAAGGGGTAGCACAGATAAATCCATCGCTGAGGAGTGAATGTTCTAAGTAAAAAGAGCACGTGTAGCCTCGATGTACATGGAATTAGCCACCTGTCTTTGATGATGTCATATGTTTGACGAGCTCAGTTTTTTAAAGAGTAAATATACTTTTTCTCACGTGAGAGAAATGCATCTAATTTCGATAAAACGTAGCAGAGAGTCAGCCACTAAAACTGTGTTTTAAAATAAGAAACAGATCTTTTTAGCCCTTTATTAGGGCACTCAAATTTCAAAAATTCAAAAAGTAGTAATTATATTTTTGTTCATTTGACTATTATTGAAGATTACTGAAATTCGTAAAAGAAACTCAGGTTTCTCTCATTGCCTAATTAATAGCATTTTCTTCCAATAATACTAATAAAATTTAAATGATTGAATATTACAGCAGAATGAAATGCTCGTAAGAGCTGCTTCAGATTTTTTTAAGGAAGGTGTAAACCACAGAACCTTTATCTGAATGGAAAATATATTTGCTCAACGTCTCTTACCCAGACAAAAGAAACATAATTAAATTTTATAAAATTAAGCTTATTTAATAATTTAATAATATTTTGTATCTACGTATATACTCCTGCATTTTAAACTATACAACAGTACAAAAATTTGCTGGCACGAATACTTGGTGGATTTCTTCATGACAAATTAAGGTAAAAAGATAAACTTGTAGCCAATGATGTAAAGTTTTCATTTTTGAAGTTTTAAGAATGTGAAATTCAGATGCTGGGAATGGCACTAGGGTAGATCATAGTTTCGGAGAAGACCTCTGTGTTCAAGCTCAAGCGCGTTTGAAATGAAGGCTGTTCCTGTTCTCTCCATTCAAAATTTGGAACTCTCGGAACCAGGGGATTTCAGGACACCCTGTGCTAAAGTCCATCCCAGGCCACGTTAGGAGCTGCAGAAAAACAGCCAGAAGCACCGTGAACTTCCGTTCTGAGCTTTCCCACGGAGCCGCGTGTCCAAAGCTGCAGAACCCTGTCTGCCTTATGGACTTTTAAACAATTTTCACGCCCAGGAAGCAGTTTTCAATATCCTCTTTCAGGGATCCATGCCTACAGACTGCGTTCCCTAAGGCTAGGCATCGATTTGGTAACAGACAGTCCGTCTGCGTTCTGCATGGCTTCTGCTCTTAGAGTGGGAAGCCTCACAAAGCCAACACGTTCTCTCTCCTCTTCACCCCACCAGGAGCAGTCAGGGCACCCGCAGGCATTCAGGAAACGTAACAAAACGACCAGTTCCAAGTCCCACCGTGAAAACCCAAGAAAAGTGTACTGAAAATTTCCTCGTTTTACTGGTGTAGGTAGTGAAACGAGGAAGCCTATCCATCCTTTAAAATGTTCAATTTGGTTAAGTTGCTCTTTTCTCATAGTGTCAATACTGGGGAAATACGGGGAAAAATCGATGACCCTAATGATCTGTAGGAGAACTGTGTCTTTATCCACCATTGCTGAGCTGGGAAAACAATTCCTTCAGAGATCCAGCCTCAAGGTGTACGTGTGTGTATGTGTGAGTCTATGAGCGTGTGTATGTATGTGTGTTTGCGCCTATGTGTATACGTATACACACGGAAGCACGCAGACGCACATACATACGTGCCTGTTTCAAAACATGCATATGGGTATTCCCTCGAGGAAAAAACTATATTAAACTAAACATTTCTGGTTTAAGGCTGCCACGACATACCCTGCAATACTGTATACTGACAACGTGTTTGGCTTGCGTTCATGCTCTGCGGGCTTGGCGTGGAACCTGGGAAATTTTTCAAATAAGGCATAATAATACATCTGTAGGAGTAAAGGAAGGTTAGTCAAAGGCAAGTAGCTGTTCTTCACCAACCAAAGCCCTTCCGCCTTTTCTACATTACGGACAGTATTCTACCACGTAAAGAGCTTGCTTTCGTTAAGAAAAGGCAAATCTCAGTAAAGATTTGAAAATATTCAATCGTTGGGATTCATTTCAAGCAAGAGGTTTTGTAAAGTCTTAGATACATGAAAGCTGCAAAACAAAGCACATCGAGCAGCCGTTTCCCACATTAAGGAAAAGCGTAAATAGTGTACCAGGGAAATCTCTTACAGTACAGGATGAAATATTAAAAAGCATCCCCAGAAAAGACTTAGTTTCTCCAAGGCAGACTCTGGATAGCAGCGTAAGGCACTGACTCCTTTCTGCTGTGGATGTCTTCCCTAAATCCTCATTGACAGGCTGCACTCTTCTTTGCCTTTGTAGAAAATGAAGCTTAGGTGCTTGAAGTGGGAACATTTTAAGTCTAAATTAATTGGCATATTTCAGGTCACAAGTTTTCAGCTAAAAAATCACGGGATAAAAATCATCTTAAGAAGTGTTTGAATGAATAAATAGGGCCAAAAATCTGTATAGTCTTCAGTCGATTTTGCAAACCAAACCAATAATTTAATTTTAAAATGTTTATTGAGTAACGTGACGCTTACTATGTGTACGCTTAGCATGCTTATTACGTGTATAAACTGTGTATTTGTTACGCCGGTTTCTCTTGAGAATTTGCCGCTCTAAATTCAGGGAAGTCTCAGATCTGCAGTAATTCCGTTGAGATCATAGCTAAACCATGTATGGAAACAGATTTTGCAGTGAAACAGGCCTGGCCTTCGTGTTCTCTCCATTCTCACAGGAAACTGTGTCCACGTCCACCGTCTCACCACTTGTCCCTGGTGTCCAGGCGCGTCCGAGACAGACAGAAGCGTTTAGTGCAGTAAAGTTAGATGGAGCGGGAGGTCCTATGGGAAAGGCCTGGTGCCCCCGTAAGCGGGCGCGGCCGGTCCTCGAAGGTCTGCAAGCTTACACGCTCGCTCGGGGTTCAGACATCTCTGGGAACAGGTCAGTATCTTTCTGGAGGAGGCTTGTAATGGTGTGAATGACGGTGTTTCAGGTGGGGTCCTAGGGAGACAGAACAGACACATCAGTCGGTCGTGACGGTTTCCCCGGCTGGCTGAACGGACAGTAGGAACGCGCTGACTGCGGTGAACACTTTGGCCCCCGCGCACGCGCTCCCTCCCGTGCAGGCCCCTCCTCTCCCGGCTCTGAACGTGCAGAGAGACAGACATTCACTCTCCCTCTCTTCTCTCTGCCTCCCCCCTGCGCTTTGGTTCCCTCCCTAAGGCCAAAAATCACGAGAGAAAGAAGACAAGCCCCTTTCTTTAGGCTCACAATTATATAAGCAAGCCAAAATCCTTTGCATTTCCTCAAGAAACTTTAAAACTTAACCCATGCTCTTATTACACAGAATTTCAGTGGAGGCACATGGGGACCGCATTCACCCTTATAAATGTAAGGGGCCGTCGAGCTCTTCCACGTGATGGTTTTTTCCTTTCAATTCGAAGTGCAGAAAGCTATTGGGGGGCAAATTTGATCCATCATTTTTTAAAAGTCAGAAGTAAAACTAGAACGACTTCTCACAGTTTTCTTATCAACACTTAAAAAGCCATGTCAAAGGTTTAAGCTAGAAAAGCAAAGTGCATAATTTAAAAACCAACAAGAGGCTCACTGTTTTGAAACAATACGTGACAATTATTTTTAACGTAGCAGTAAGTCAAGTAGATTGATTTGGGTCATGTTATGAAGAAAATTCATGTAATATAGATTATAGTAACAATATATGTAATAAGAAAATAAGCTCCGTAGCCAAATACTATTTGCTATTTTGTCATATTTGAACATCTTAATTTAAAAAACAAAAATTCAGATTGATATGAGACGATAGATTTTTTTCCCCTCCCATGTGTATCTGTGGTTAAAAGACAAGGAGAAAGCATGCATCATGTAAGGAAAAAAATGGAAGTATGGAAAAGGAAGTAACAGAAAGGAAGGCAGAGAGGGAGGGGGAGGGGGGA